TAAATTTTGGTTAGTTAAACCGATCGGTTATCGTTTTTGGTTCTGATGAGTCAACGCTGGGTCAATGCCGGAGTAAATCGTTCGGTAAACTGAAATTTTATGTGTAGGGTGTTGAGCACATGACATCATATACTTCGTACATGTCGCCATGCCATACATATACTTGACGTTGCTAAGTATCCATTCTTATACTTGGTATGTGTAGGCATGTATTCCTCGATATTTCAGGTAGCTGACAATCTTTTTTCCTAATGTTTACTTAACCAGGTATATATGTATGTAATCTTTTACTAAAACCTGTGTTAATGAATTATGATTAATCTTTTGACAACGTTTATCACCTAACTTATTGCAATAATGGCCCTAACTAAAATTAAATGCGAATTGCATTCATTTCAATGGGGCTTTTTTTTCTTAAGTAACTTTGATATTGTTATCACCGTTCTTATGACGTGTCAAAACTCCGATCAAAGGTTAATCTACTATTAAATCCAACGACCTAAAGACGAGGCGTACGTTACTTAACATACACGTGCACACACTGTATCAGTCTCTCTCGCTCTCTCTCCTCTTCCCCTTCGATGAAATGATTCGTCACCCAAAGAAAGATCTGCAACTTCACCACCGGACCAGTCTCTCATTCTCTACCTCACGCGACGAAGAATTCAATCATGACTGAAGAACAGGACCTCATCGACCAGTCACCACCACTCTCAGCACCCGACCCTGAACCAAACCCCAATCCGAATTCAGTTATCCATCCGAGGCGTGTGTCTTTCGAGCACGGCCTCCTCCCGATCCAGAAACTCGTTTTTACCGACCCGATCCAAACCCTAGCTCCTGTCAAGCAGAAGCTTGCCGATGCCGCTTCTAATTACCGCGTTGGATCGGCTGCAATCGCCGACGTTCTCCAGATCTCCGGCGACCATGCCCGTCTCGTTCTCGAGACCCTTGGTTCCGTTCTTCATTCCGAGTCCGACCCTCTCGTTAAGGCGAAACCCGAGGAAGTTGATTCCCTCGGAGCTGATTTGCGGGATCTAATTTTGTTTCTCTACATTCAATCGTATAAGAAGTTGCTTCCTAGGACGCACAAGGACTCCGCTGCTGTCGCTGATGTTTGGCCATCGACTTCAGCTTTTGATGGATACTTGTCTGCGTTGTCGCCTATTCAGGCAAGTTTCTTACTTTTTTTGGCTCTCTATTTAAAATGTGCCTCTCATACTATCTAATGACCCTAGCGCGTACGATCTATTTGGAATTGAAATGTAAATATTGTACTGGAGTATGGAATTGGAACGTGGTAGCTCTATTAACAACTTAGAGAATACCTTATTCCCGTTTTGCGTTTGTTTTAACTAAAATATTGCAATGCAAATTAAAGTTTTCTAGTCATTTGATTTACTTGAAGCTAAGAGTAAAGCAAAGTGTGAAGTTTGTGGGTGATTAATCTAATTTGATGGCGGGTATAGTTTCTGGATATATGTTCGTAAAATCGTAATAGTTCTCAAGGAAGAGAAGATGCATGTGTTCGTAACGGTTATTGATTTATTGATTCAAATATGATGAACTATTAGTCTTCTTGTGGTGGATGTAATGTTGTAACGCCATTGAATTGGACGCATGCTAATGTTAGTGTTGCTACTGTTTGAGAATCTTCTATGCAACTCATGGTGTTTCGAACACATGCTAATGGACACATACTTTAACTCATGTTTTTATGATACATGTATCTTTGTTTAAAATGCTTGTGGTGTTTAACTCAGCCTTCAGTCCTGTGATATTCTGATTAGTGTTGGTTGTGTGGCTAGTTTATTGTGTCTTTGAAAACAGTCATCTGATCTTAAGCTTTTTCAGTGTTTCCAACAGTCATTGTTCTTTGGTATGCAATTCTTTTCCATCACATGAGTCTAAACAGCTATATTGGAGTTAAACGTGTTCGTCATTTTTGCAGCTTGTTCGTAGCAACAGCCGTCGGTTTATGCCATCACAAGCTGATGATGAAGCTCATCAATTGTCATATCTGCAAAAACATTTAGCAAACATCATTTCTCTTCTTGCAGAGCCTGTTGAGGGAGAAGGAGATGAATCATTGGTAAGCTCTAATCTTCTGTATGTACTCGGGGAGTGTCTCAGTCTCTACTACACAAGAATATATAATACAGAAGTCTGTATGTTGGGTTTGGAGGGAATGAAAGAGTACAGAAGTCTCAAGCGAGATGCTTATTTCATGATGGTTCAAACCAGTTAACTGTTTTTTATTGTCCAATATCCTTCAGGTTCTCTCCATGGAGGCTTTTGAGCACCTGGGATTTCTTGTTCAGTTTGGTGATAAGGGTTCTGATGTATCTCCATTGAGCCAAGCTACTCCTTTCTTTGCAAATTCTGATCCGGATATGCCCGCTGTTCCAGTCCCCGCATCCCAAGTGCATGACTGGCTTCTGCAAAACATAGCTTCTGCGTTAGAAAGCATTACTGAGAAAATTTCTGGAAAAGAGAATGGGCCTTCTAGCGCTTCTGATCAAGATGATACGATGTCAGATGTTGGTGATGCTCCGAACAAGGTTGCAGCTAGTACTAGAGGCCCATGTTTGATCGAGGGAGTCTCCAAAACTTCACTTGTTAAGCAGGCCTCCGATCTAAGGGGTAGATCTGTGAAGGTATTCTGTGAATTGCTTTTGATATAGTTGGACTATGCGTTGCTCTATATTTCCTTCCAGTCATGTACTCTCTGCACCATTGTCAATTCCATGTTCCTGTGTATTCCGCAGGTTGTCAATTGCCACGATTCTGTGATTTACCTTTTAGCACCATTGCGATATGCTACTGTGCATGGATGTTCTGATACTACTATAGTTCTGGGAGCTGTTGGCAAGGTATGGAAACAATGCTCCTTCCTTCTTTATAGATGATAGTCAAGGCAACAATTTATTAGTTATACTATCTGCCAACGTTTACTAGATGATGCAGCAACTCTATTTTCTGTTTATTTCTGTAGGCACTAAAAGTTGAGCACTGTGAGAGAGTTCATGTGATTGCAGCTGCCAAACGAGTGTGCATCGCCAATTGTCGTGAATGTGTATTCTTCTTGGGAGTCAATCAGCGACCACTTATAGTTGGTGATAATCACAAACTACAGGTAAAGCTTCTCTCCAACATTGATGTTTAATTCTAAAAAAATAGTTCATGCTGCTCTAATGCGCTTAATTACTTGTCTGATATTAAGGTATAATTTGTGTAGCGACTAGAATTTTTACTAGCTTTAGTTTGGTTAATATGTTGTTTTGGACATGCTATTGAGTCTAGTGGAAACAACTACAAGGGGTTTTCTATCTCATTATGTTACACGGTTAAGGTGTTGAAGAATTAATTTATTAGAGATACCTATAGCCGATGTATGCTTTAAGAAGGTTTCACTGATTTTTATGGAAGAAAAAAAGTACGGCCATGTTCAGATAATTGTCTTAGCGAGTATGGTCCCCTGTTCTTTTGAATTGCTGACATCATTTTTCCATTTTAACCTTGTTTTCAGGTTGCTCCATATAATACATTTTACTCTCATTTGGAGGAGCACATGAGTGAGGTAGGGGTTGAGCCAACTATCAACGAATGGGACAAACCGTTGGCACTGGGAGCAGTGGATCCGCATGACTCACTGTCACATCCTGCTGGTGTCGCTGATGCACAGGCTGAATCAGCTGCTTCTGTAGACCCTGACCAGTTTGTTAACTTTTTGGTACATTTTTTTTTGTTGGTCTAACTTCTACTTCAATACCTGGAGATACTGTTCATGAAACATCTAATGACTTGTTTATCTGTGGGATCAATGTCTATGTATTGCAGATCCCAAACTGGTTTAGTGGCGAGGATATTGGTTCGACAAAAGACAATCCATTTCCATTGCCAGATGCTTATATGGCAGCTCAGCAGAGAAACGTAAGCCTTTTTTCTTCAGTATGAAACTATGTATTTTTCGTCATGTAATTCCATATTTTGCTTTCACCAGCTTAAGAACTTTGAAGAAACAAGACGATCCCTAAAAGAAGCACCTCTGGAAGAAAACCGGAAACGAGAGCTATCAAGTGCACTCCATGTGTATTTCAAAGACTGGCTCTACGGTAAGAACTTTTTCTAAATCGATCCCTACTCAAGTTCTTGTGCATATTCTCTAGGTTTTTGACTGTTTCTGTCTACTGCGTATCTAACAGCATCTGGAAATATAAGGCAACTCTACTGCCTACAAGGTGACTAATAATGAATAATAGACAAAGTGAAAGATGTCTCGTTCCTGTAGAGCTCCCGCGATCATATTTGGCATATTGCTAGTGAAGAATCCCCCCAAAAGAGAAAGAAAAAAAAAGAAGAAAAAAGAGAAACCAGCCTGATTTGTAGTTTGGAACCAATACGCACCCACGTAACTTATCTGCACAGAATACTCCCTTAAAAGCTTTTCCTTTAGATTATTTTTTTCTGTTTTGGTCATGTTTAATTTTTGTTTCTTCTGTCATTTCAGTTCCTCGTTTTTGAAAATCTCATCTTCAGATAGAGCATGATGATTTGAATTTGAATTGTTATAAGTTATAACTTGTAAGCCAAACTTTTTTTGAAATTCTTGTCTTCGTCGTAATAGAAACTAAGATGACAACAGTAGGCTAGATTATAGAAGCAAATTTTCCGAAGCTTTAGAGCTCTATAAAAATGATATTTATTGTAGAAAAATCATGCAGACAAGAAACAGAGAATAAAGCAGAGGTGACTGTAAGAGCAGCACCATCAGATATTGCGGTTAAGATGCTCCCGTGCTGTAAAAGAGACACAAATTCATTGACCCAGGATATGCATATTCTATCTTGTACACCAATTGAGTTTTGTCACTTTTTAGTTACCTCCTAAAGAAAAACAGTTTGGTTACAAAGCCCAATTAGTACCCAGATAGTCTTATTAGGCCCAATTGAAGCCCTTTAGTTACTCTCCTCTTCTTGTTTTATTTTTCTCCGTCCAACCGCGTTTTCGCAAGTTCCGTCGGCAATGGCAGAATCGACGAGAAATCTGATTGGTCTCGGAGGAGAAGCAGCGAAAGAAGAAGAAGAAGAAGATAATGATGACTACATGGGAGACCTATCTCAGTTTATTCCCCCTGAACTTACCCAGGCTTCTAAAAGAAAGGTAACTTCATGACAAAAAGCTTACCACTTCGATATATATATATATCCATAGCTATCAAGTTCATGAGTCCATATTCGTCTAATTGAGTATGAATTTGATAGTTGAGTCAGATTTTGTGATTATATTTCAAATTCATCTACCTTAATTTGGAATTATATTTTTAAAAAACCTAGTTCATGTGTTGATCATATGAATGCCTTTTGCAGGAATCTGATAAGAAACCTGTAATAGTTGAACCATCTCGGAAGAAGTTAAAAAATCTGAATTGGTACGAGAGACGAAGATTAGAGAAAGAGAGGAAACAAATGGAAGAGGATGAACAGACATTGGCTCGTATTGTGGACACTCCAATTGGAGAGTCTAACATAGGGTTTCAGCTATTGAAGCAAATGGGTTACAAGCCAGGTTCAGCTCTTGGTAAAGAAGGGTCAGGTAGGGCTGAGCCAGTGACCATGGATATCCGAAGATCAAGGGCCGGAGTAGGCAGAGAAGATCCACACAAGGAGAAGAAGAAAAAAGAGGAGATTGAGGTGGAGTTTCAGAAGAGAAAGGTTGATGAAATGTTGGAGGATTTCGGGTCTAGACAGAAGTCTCAATGGCGTAATAAAAGAGTTGTGATTAACTTTAGGAAGGCTAAGGCGGCTCTTGATCAACTTGAGAATGTAGAAGTTGTTCCCGAGAAGAAAACCGAGGAAGATGAGGATGGTAAGCCTGCTGAAGAAGAGGATGAAGAGGACGTGATCACTGAAGAGGTACGTTCTCTTATAAAACAAGAGTTGCTACCGTTGCTGTTTCTGTTGTCTTTCACCTTTATGACACCAATGCAGTATAGTTCAATCGAGGCTATTGGTTGAGAATTTTAGATTCATCATTATTCTTTAGGTTGACTGGTTTAGCTTTACTGATTGCAGGATTTGCAAGAGATATTAATGAAATTGAGAGATGAACATCGGTATTGCACATTTTGCGGGTTCCAGGTAATTGAATACGTGCAAGTCTTCTTTTATCAATGTTTCTCTCAACGCTAAATGTTGAGTTTGTGTAATTATACTGACTACTGACATAAAAATTTCACAATACGTGAATCAGTATGAAACGACTGAAGCTCTTCTATCTTATTGTCCTGGCGTGAATGAGGACGATCACTAGATAAGTCAGAGTAGTATGGAAGCGTACAAACACAATTCAGTTCTGGAGAAGCTCAAGTGAGGTGGATAATTCCCTGATGTGGCTGAAGAGGCAAGATACAGAAGAGAAGAAAGACTGTATCTGCAGTTGAATAAGCAAGAAGGTGAAGAGTTACACACTCAAAAGGATTTTTGAAGGACTTGCTAATTCCCAGATCACTAATGCTTTGATAGATAGTAGGATGATAAAAGCATGTGGAACTCTGATTTATCTATTGATGATGATGTTGAAGTTTCAGTTTGATATCCAAATAATATAAACCTGTCTTTTTGTTGCATGTAAAATTGTAAACATAACAAAAATAAATAAAAAACAAAGGGCTGACAGTTCAAAAGCTAAACCCATTAAAATAAAATCCAAACTTGAACGCCATTATCAAACATCATTGCTTAGTTTTAAGTAGCATAGAACAACTAACTGATAGGACTTGATAGTTGGTAGCAACCTTCCACAGAGTAAGCTCTTGGTGGAGCTGAACAAGTTATACCAAAAGAAAGTCTTTAAAGGGCGAAAGAGAAAAAAACTCAAAGAGACCAATTGAAATAATGAGGAGAGGAGTCATAAGCTCTTGTGTTCTCAGGCTCCATGTATTGCCTCAGAACCTGCTGATGAAGAGACAACTCGAATCCATCCATTGTGGTGCCATTGCTTATCTGAAATTCATCTGGCTCAGAGATTTGGCTCGGTCCCAAAACAGGAGACATGTAATGTGAATTGCTCTTTTCACCCGCCATAAATGCCAAAGTTTGGTTCAGGTACTGATGATGGCCTGAAATGGGCGGTGGCTGAGCCATTGTAACCCTATCGAGGATCATAGAGTCAAAACCTGAAGATGATCGCCATATATTGGTTTGTGTCTGAGGTTGTTGTTGCTGCTGTTGAATCGGGTTTGAGTTTGACAGAAGAGAGAGAGCACAGCCTGAGTCTGTGCTATTGTTGTTCATCATCTCTGGACATGTTATAGTAAAACTTGAGCTTTCTTGTGAGTAAACATTCATGAGTTGATTGCTTTCCTTTACCGGGTTGATTTGCCAAGGTCCAGAACTTCGCATCACTGACCTCGAGGTTGACCACGCCGTGGGATCTCCCAAAACGCTTTTAATCATTGCAGCATTGGCGTTTCCTAATAAACAAGAAAATCAAGAACTTGTTTTTGAAGCATATTGAGCTAAAAAAAGGTTGTGTGATAGACATTAACCGTAAAGAGATGGAGCGATTCGAGTGTAATGAGAAGTGAAAAGAGTTGCGGGTTGTGGCTTTCTTCGTCGTTCGTTATGACAAGCGAGTCTTCTGCGACAACTTCGTTTCTCTAAGTCAAACTCAGAAAGATGGTGAAACCTGAATCGATATATAAAAATAGAAGAAAGCTTCAACGAAAAGCAACAACATACATAAATAATGCATAAGACAAGAGACAAGACCACATAATAACTAGCTGTAAAGTTATATTAGACTCTTCAATGACGTCAAGAGCCAAAGCTCAAAAGGAACAAAAAAAAAACCTGAAAAATAAAGCTTAAAGCTATGGTTCCCTTGTGGGCTCTTCCGATCACCGGGAGGAATGAGAAACGAGTAAAGTAAAAGGAGAAAAAGAAGAGAGAAACCTGCTGCATTGTTGGCAGAACCTTTGATGAAGACCAGAGACAATGACTTTAGATGACTTAGAGTGAATGCAACAAACTTTGTGTCTTGAGTAATAAGCTTTTGCATTGCTTAGATCCATTTTACAACCTTCCACTTGGCACCTCGCCACCGTCGTCATCGAAGATTTATGACCTGTACTGACCCGGTTCTTGCTTCCGGATCCGGATCCATCCTCGAAGTAGATCTTCTGACCAAACCTGAGTCCACCACTGAGTAAAGATGACTCAGTGGAAGAAGAACCACCCGACTCGGCCTGACCCGAACCCATCAACAACTCCATTATGGTTTCTTCTTTTACTCAGACAGAGAAAGAGAGGCTTCTGCTCATCCCTCTCTCTAAGTAAACTACTGGACTCTGGAAATAGAAAGGACAGAGGAGAAGTAAGAAAGAAAATGTGGTTTTGCTGGTTTTAGATGTTGCTATCTTTAAAAAGATCAGAGCGAAAGAGAGAGAGAGAGAAAGAGAAGCTGACAAAAGAAGAGACACTCAAGAAGAGTGATTGACACTAGTCCACGACAGCTACGTGTTTTAGCGTTTGCGTTTTGTGATGTTGGTGCGTTTTGTAATGAACAAATAAAAAAACACACGAAAAGGGATAAGAATATTTCTTTTCTTCTTTAACGTACAAAATGATATCCTTAAACGAGACCAGGGAACATAACCCCCATGTCAAAAAAAAAAATCTAGCTACTTATATTCTAATTGTATTTTTAAAGATTTATAGTAGTACTAATTCCTAAATATATATAGCTGCCCAATGACGCTAAAATAACAAAAATTATGACCTTTATTGTAGTTTGTACATATGAATAGACCACATACCTATAAATGGATGCTTGTTTAACTCAACCACTTCTAATTAAAGAGCAACAACAACTTTATTAGTATTATGGAAAAAGTAAAAAAGAATTTGAAGATATCATGGGCATAATAGAACAGAGTGTTGAAACTCAACTAAGGATGTGACTCTTCAAAGGAACTTTGAAGGTTATTAAACACTTTTTCACAATCCAGTTCTGTTTTTTTTTGTTTTTCTCTACACATATTTTACTATTTTGGTGTTCTTCTTTTCACAATATCCAATGCAACATCTTTCTTGATAATTGAAAAAAACAAATAAGTAAATATTTTTTGCAAAAGGAGAGTATCGGAAGTTCGATTTCATATAGTGATGTATCCATTAGAATCTGTGTACTTGAATTTTTCATTGGGTTGTGTGTGTGTAACAGTTTATTTTTGTTCCTTTTGCGTTTTGCTTTATTTAGCACTCCATCATCTTGTTCCTTTGTTTCTCTCTGATTTCCAAAACTCTTAAAAAACAATTCAACCTGAAAAAAAGCCTAAAGCCCCCGAATCTTCTTTGCATTTATTCAAGTCTATTGTTCTTCTTTACTACTTTGAAACGTTTCTTTTTCACTTTTCACAACCCATAAACTGTTGCATTTTCTCATAGCCGTTAAAGAGCATTTTAGGCTCTATTTTGTTCTCAAGAGAGATTTAGCCTCAGAACGCAATGAAAACTAAGAAACAAAAGAGAAGAGCAATGTCAGAAAAATCGAAATTTCTGATTCCATGTAATGAAACCAAAAATGCACCCCCATTAAACTTGGGTTTCTAACAGCATAAGTAGGAACCAACAAAAAAAAAAACACCAAAAAGGCGGTTTCAAAAGTGTTTTAAGAACCTCTTTTCAAACCCCATTACATTCAACAACAGCTTCAGCAGCTCGTCTTGGTTTGCTCTTCCTTCTGCTCCCATTCTGCCTAAACCCAGTAGACAAGGGTGATTTCATCGAATCATCTGTGCTTGATTTCGATCCTAATGCATTCTCTTCTTCGGTTATGTTGCTCTCTTTAGACTCTACTGGTTTCTTTCTCTTCTTCCCATTCCCTGTTACATCTTCTTTACTTGTTACTACTGAACCATTTGTATCATCATCCTTCTCTTCTTCTTCTTCTTCTGTCTTCTTCACTAGCTCTTCTTCTTCTTCTCCCTCGATTTCATCTTTCACCGGCTTCTGTGGCCTCCCTCTTCTCCTGTAAGCCGGAATCTTTTCTTCTTCACCGCTTCCTCGATCTTCTCTAGCAGTAGCGCTCTGTCTCTTGCCTTTTCCTCTACCTCTTCTCATAACTCTATTCAATTACACCAAACCAAAAGCCTCAAGCAACTAGACAAGAACCCTGCAAATTGAAAGGTTGGTCAATTAAATCAATTTTTAACTATCAGCAGTAACTGAACATCAAGATAAGCATTAGGCCACAACAAAAGATACAACAACACAATGGAGGCGAACTAAACTCGAGCCAATACTAAGGAGAAAGAAAATGAGGAAAGCAGTTCCATTTTTCTACGACATGCACAGAATTGGGAGATACTTTGTTTCAGAATTAGGAGGATAGTATTTATAGAAGAATGAACACAGGTCAAGCGCAAGCATCAACACGAAAGTAAGAACCCATTTGCAGGAATTATAGTTAAACAGAAGAGCTTATTGGACAACCAACATCCATATACAATTTATTTCAAAAAAAGGTTTGAACAGAGACAATAACATATAAGCAACACTTGGGTCACTAGACAGACATTGAAAAATTTGATCTATTCAGAAAGACCTATCCTTTCGAGCTCAATAGAAACCAAAAACCAAGCTACAAGTAAGTTTAATCGAATACCTTCCATGAAAACTAATTGCATGAACAGTCCAAAGAGAAAACACAAGCCCTAATTTAAACTTCTTCAATACCACCAAGAGAAAAAAGAGAGAGAGACAGAGACAGAGACTCACCTGTGAACCCATTGCTCAAAAATGAAACTAAACCCCAGAAAGACCAGTAAAGGGTTTCTCTTTTTTATTAATTTTTTTATCTTGAGGGGGGTTTTGTCAATCGATCTAATCTAACTCACCAGTTTCTAATACCAAGACAATGTAAAGTTAGGAAAACCCAGATCAGAAGAAAGACAGGGATTCTCAAAAGAGACTGCTCAAACCAACCAAAACAGAGGGAACGAATCAAATCCAAAAGGATAAGAAGACTCAAGTCAAAAGAAAGAGATCTAAGGGGAAGAGCAAGGAAGGAGAAGAAAGAGCAACAACAACAACAACAACAACTAAGTGTTAGTTGAAAGTGTCGTTGAAAGATTAAAAGTTGATTGCTTTGAAAAGGCTTCTTTTTTATCTTTTTTTCCCCTTCTTACTAGCTTCTGTGCAACTTATAGAAAAAAAGATAGAAAAAAACGTAAGAATGACGCTTTTTCTTCTCTCACTCGTACCACTGAGACTGACTCAAATGGATCTTAAGCCCGTTGAAGATGGATACGGATTTCACCCACGCGCCCCGTTTTTGCGCGTGCTTTCACGTTCTACTCGTTTTCGAACTTTACTACTGGCTGGGTTTTGGATAAGAGACAGACAGCTAATAGCCGCGTTCTGAGAAAAGATCAAACGATTTCAAAAACAACTTATCTTTCTTTTCTCCAGGGCTGGCTTTCTCCTTTTCCTTTTTCATTTTTGGGCTTTGGCCCATTATAGTTTTCTTTATTTCTTATACATTTTTGACCAATGTATTAAAAACCCGATTCTCTATATTAAAAATAATGCATGGTCTTAGTTAGGGGCACGAACGTATTCTTTTTCTCCATTCTCTATATTTCTCAAGGCTACTATGTTGTTTTAGATTAGGAATTCATGTTTATGAGCATTGCTGCGATCATATTCAAACTTCTTTTCAAATTATTTAACAAAGGATTTTTTTACCAGACTCACCGCCAACAAAAAAAAATAAAATAAAAATAAAAGAGAGAGAGGCATAGACTACTCAGCTGTGAGCCACCTAATCCTTGATGTCAAAAACGCAAGCATTTTGGTCAAAAAGATTTCAAACGCATCTTTTTCCTCCCGGGCTTTTTCTTCTCATTAACCATTTGGGCCTAACTTAAATACCCATTAGAGTTCACTTTTGTCTGTCATAACCCATTTTTTTAAACCCGAATTTATACGAACAGTGCATTAAACCCATTTCGGTTTAGTGCTCGGTTAGTTATGATTATTTTAAGTAAGAAGGACAAAAAGGTCAAAGCAGAAACATCATAGTTTCTTCGGTGTCCTAAACCCTACTGCACGATTTGAAACCCTAAACTCTGTTCCGGTCGATTTTTTTATTTTTTTCATAGAACTAACGAAAAAAGATTTTCAGTTCCAAACGCAAATTGATTTCTATTCAGTTGGAATTGTTTTAATCTAACAGTCGAGGACTCTCGTACTAGTGAGAAAGCAGAACTCAGGTTTTGCTATTGAATTTGGGAGTGTTTTGCCTGTGTTAAGATTAAGGAGGAAGAAGCAGAGCTAGTTTTGGAAGAATGAGGAAGAAGGTTGATGAACGTATCAGGACTTTGATTGAAAACGGTGTCAAATTGAGACACCGTTCCATGTTTGTAATCATTGGTGACAAGTCCCGTGACCAGGTTTGATGTTTTTCTTCTGGGAAGTCTTCTACTTCCACACTTATCCCTGAGAATGTTTTTGTTGGATATTCAATATGCAACTTTAAAAAAAAAAAAAGTTTTGTGTCTTTCTTCTCTAACAGATAGTGAACCTCCATCATATGTTGTCAAAGGCAGTGATTAAGTGTAATCCGAGTATCTTGTGGTGCTACAAGGACAAACTTGACATTAGCAGGTTAATCCCACTTTCTCAAGGCTAAACATTGAGAATTGAGTTGAGCACAAATGTAGAATGGAATGGGGATTTTTTTCTATTGGTCCTTAGTGAATAGAGTTGATAACTTTGTAATTGAATGATAAGAGCCTGTTCCTGCTATTTTATCCATAGTAGATTTTTTTTGTGAGAGCTTTTGGATTCATCTTTTTCTTTGCAGTCATAAGCAAAAGCGTTCGAAGCAGTTGAAGAGGTTGAGGGAAAGAGGACAATTGGATCCAGAAAAACTTGACGCCTTCTCGCGTTTGCTTGATGTTGGAAGAGTTACTCATTGCTTGTACAAAGATTCTGAACGAATTCTTGGAAATACTTTCGGCATGTGCATCTTACAGGTACTTTGCTTTCTTTATATTCACTTAAGATGACTGTCACCTGTCCCTGTTTCATTTCATTTCGCCTTGATACATTCAGGATTTTGAAGCTTTAACTCCAAATCTACTAGCAAGGACTATAGAGACTGTGGAAGGTGGTGGTTTGGTTGTATTAATATTACGATCACTTGCATCCCTTACTAGTCTATGCACTATGGTTATGGTATGAACCACGATTTTCATGACTAACTTTAATTCCTTACTCTTCAGAAAGTCGGAGTAAAGCGTTAACTTAGTGCTGTCACATGATTTTTTTCTTTTCTTGTTAGGATGTCCATGACAGATTCCGGACTGAATCTCATTCTGAAGCCGCGGGCCGTTTCAATGAACGTTTTCTTCTATCACTTGCATCGTGCAAAGCATGTGTTGTCATGGATGATGAGTTGAATATATTGCCACTTTCCTCTCACATCAGATCTATTACTCCAGTTCCAACGGAAAAGGTAATCTTTGTTGCAAAGTGAACTCTGTTCCGTTGTGAGAAAATGACTTCCAGCTAATATCCATAACATTGCAATGTTGTATGCTATTAAAGGATTCCGAGGGGCTCTCTGAGGCAGAACGTGACCTGAAGAGTTTGAAAGATGACCTAAGTGATGATTTTCCTGTTGGTCCTTTAATCAAGAAATGCTGTACACTGGATCAGGTTCAAAACTATCAATTTTTTTGTGTATTTGTCTTGCGAATGTTCTTTCTTATTGCATGGCTGATGTTAATTGAGTTTCTGTATTTTCTTTGTAGGGTAAAGCTGTTATCACATTTTTCGATGCAATTCTGGACAAGGCTCTCCGCAGTATAGTTGCTTTGATTGCTAGTAGAGGACGTGGTAAATCAGCTGCACTTGGTTTAGCTGTTGCCGGGGCTGTTGCTGCTGGGTAGGTTTCTTGAATTAGTTTTACCGCCATATGTTCCTTTACTTCATTAGTATTGTTTTTTCCTGGATGTTTGTTAAAATTATTTATGTGTGATTTACTTGCTTGTAGATACTCAAATATTTACATAACTGCACCAAGCCCGGATAACTTGAAGACATTCTTTGAGTTTGTTTGCAAAGGATTCGATGCACTTGAATATAAGGTAATGTAAAGCTCTTTCCCTACAGAATATGTATAGTACTTGTTCCATTTCATTGAGAAGAGCCTGCAAGGTGAGAGACATATGCAAAATCAGTATTCCATTTTGCGATGTGGTCAGATATGTTTCTTAAATACCTTCCACTATAATTTTATAGGAGCACCTTGATTATGATGTTGTGAAAAGTGTGAATCCTGACTTCAAAAAGGCTATTGTTCGGATAAATATCTTCAAGCAGCATAGACAAACTATCCAGGTTTGTTAATCCCTCAGTTAATCCATGGTCTTCAAGTTGTCAATTGAGTCGATATCGGATGTGTTCCATGATCTTGATTTTTTAATGTAGTATATACAACCACATGAGCATGAGAAGCTCTCACAAGTAGAGCTTTTGGTTATTGATGAAGCAGCAGCTATTCCTTTGCCAGTTGTGAAGTCTTTGCTTGGTCCTTATCTTGTTTTCCTATCGTCAACTGTCAGTGGGTATGTGAAACAGGATTTGATGCCATTTCCATATATTGGAATGTTATATTCATGTTCTGGTTTTCATTCAAGGATAATCACGCTACTAATTTTACCCTTTTTTAAAGCTATGAAGGCACTGGGAGATCTTTGTCCCTGAAACTCCTCCAACAATTGGATGAGCAAAGCCGGGCTCCTGCTACTGGTCTAGGTTCTCTTTCAGGTTTTTAACTGCTCCACCTTGCTTTCATTCTTGGATATAAAACTTATTAGGGAAATTTATAGAGACCCTTCTGTATAGACTCATCTTTCTTAGAATCACCTCTCCTCTGTATTGTCTAGAAGGTAATGTATAGTGTTTCCAGCATTTGTTTATAAAATTTTATTTTGTGTGTTCAGCAGTTATATCAATTGTAATTATTTAGGTGGGATAGGGCATTACTATTCGCAGGGCCTGCATTTTGTGGCGGCCCTAGTTGATGTGAATCATACCCCTGACTCTCTCATTTTTTTTGGACAGGTTGCCTTTTCAAGAAGATAGAACTTAATGAGTCTATCAGATACTCTTCTGGAGATCCCATAGAATCTTGGCTTAATGGCCTACTTTGCCTTGATGTTGCTACTTGTCTACCTAATCCTGCGCGGTATGACTAGTTTACTAAAATTTTGTAGTGTCTACTTTCCCCTTGTGCGTTACTGATCGTCGAAATGTTTTTTATTTGATTTGTCTTTTCTTTCTTCTTTTTGTGTAGCCATCCTTCGCCAAGTCAGTGTGATCTTTATTATGTCAACCGAGATACACTCTTTTCTTTTCACAAAGATAGTGAGTTGTTTCTACAGGTAAACATGGTTGCTTTTTTGGATACATGCATTATTTTGACACTAGACTGATATAAGGGCATCCTACAGAGAATGATGGCGCTATTTGTCTCATCTCACTACAAGAATTCTCCAAATGATCTTCAACTGCTGGCTGATGCTCCTGCTCATCATTTGTTTGTGTTACTTGGTATGCATGTTTTCCTTTTTTTGCGCCACCTAATTTAATTTTCAAAACTATTCCTAACTTCCTTTAAACACAGGTCCTGTTGATGAGTCCCAAAACAAGGTTCCTGATATACTCTGTGTAATCCAGGTATATATATTATTGTTGTGTGTGAAATTTATCAGTTAACTTGTTTGGTCTGTTGAACACCAAACAGTTAGAGTTTGATTTTAGGTTCTCATTGACCTAGAAATAGCGTAGCATCCGTTTTCATGAAAATGGACTTACAAAGACTAAAGTCTCAGCTATCAATCTGTTATAGATGCTTTTACCACAATTTGTGCAAAATCGTAGTTTCTAGCTTGTGTCCTTTTTTTGTGTGATCTTAAACATCATTGTGAGTTGTGACTGTTATATTCAGGTCTGTCTCGAAGGAAAGATATCTGAGAACTCAGCCCTTCAAAGTTTAAGGGATGGCCATTCACCATACGGAGACCAAATTCCATGGAAATTTTGTGAACAATTTCGGGACGCTGAGTTTCCAGGTTTCTCTGGTGCTCGAATAGTACGCATAGCAGTCCACCCTAACGCCATGAAGGTAATCTTTTGTTTCTGCTCATATTTTTACATGCCCAGTTTAGGTTTTGTGTGCGGTTAACAAGC